TTTCTTGCGAACATGGAAATGTGCATGCCTTTTCTGGCCGATCCGTGCTGGTGCACGCAGCATGATGCTGCGGCTCATGTGGTCCCAGAACCCAACTTGCAAAGCCTGTGCACCCCGCAGCTGGGAAGATCTCACCACTCACGGCATATTTGAGAAGTTGACAGTTTGTAAAGCGCATCAGCTTGGCGCATGTGAGAATCACAACTGCTGGCCACAATCCGCACCTCGGCTCGCAGGAATGCGTCGGCTTCCTGAAACTGTCCCAATGAAGCTGTCAAGCGTTATCCCCGGTATCCCTGATTCCAAGACAAGCTACATACCCGTCTGTCCAGATGCACGGATAAGCTCTTCAGTCGAGCACTGCTGGATAGCTTCCAGTACTGGTGCATCACGCTTGCGAATAAACTCGTGCAGATGCATTCCGCGAGGAGGCTGGTCATAGTATCCCTCCCCAGCGTGGAGGTAGTCAGTCGTTGCAACGACCAACACGTTTTCGCCTCCATTACAAAACGGCAACACAAGGGGTTACCTACGAGCAACCCAGCAGTGCTACTATTCCATGGGGCAGTAAGACCCGCACGCTGTATGATTGCCACCATATCGCTAGCCAGTTTCTCGGCTTCGGCAAGTGTCAGTTGCGACAAGCCAATGGGCACAATCCGTACCTTGCAGAGTCTTGCAAGTGAATTAAGCCCTAAACCCTAACCCCCTAACCCCTAAACCCTAAACCCTGAACCCTAAACCGTCAGAAGCCTCTTGGAACTTGCGACCATGTGACCAATCTGTGGCAATGAGGGTTTGGGGGTGGACACGCGCCGAAGAGAATTGCTTTATCTTCCGTTCAGGACGACAACGGGAACGCAGAGAAGAGAACATCAAAAAGCATCAAAAGCACAGACCATGTCAGCAACAACTTGATCCGAGTGTCTTTGGGCGCCAGGTGCTGTAGGAAGGGCAGCTGGTTCTCAATGCTGTGCTCTTGAGCATGACCTCTCTCATCAACGGGGTACCTTGCCATGGGATGCCAGATGCAGGCTTCGGCATGACCATGGATGATCATGGATGTGGGTTTAGGGTTTAGGGTTTAGGGTTTAGGGTTTAGGGTTTAGGGTTTAGGGTTTAGGGTTTAGGGTTTAGGGTTTAGGGCTTAGTTCTTGACAACGGGGTCTGGCTTTCTAACCCAAGCCGCCCCAAGGAAACGAACTTGCTCAGCAACTCACCATCCACTTCCAGGGTTCCCAGTGGCGTCCGCCATGGGCAGCGGCTCAGCGCGATGCGCTCTCCGATGCACCTCTGCAAGGACGCGTGGTGGTGAGAAGCTGCGACAAATTTTCGAAGGTTTGTGGGGGTTTAGGGTTTAGGGAGGTTCAGGTTTCAACGTTTAAAACACCCGAAGCCCTTAAGCCCCTAATCCCTTTAAAACCCCGCAGCCCCCTTTTGACACCTTCCGCCTGTGGTTGGTACCCAGGAGGAGGACGGTCGGCGACACTCCGTGAGCTGCGACTTGTTGGAAGGCATGCGCGACCACGGGAAAGCTGTCACCTAGGGTTAGGGGTTTAGGGTTTAGGGTTTAGGGTTTGGGGTTTAGGGTTTGGGGTTTGTTTGGGGTTTAGGTTACCAAGGGGGAGAAGGGGGGGGTTCTGAATAAAACCAAGGTCACGGAAAGGGGCAAGGTTGTTGAAGGGCTAGCAACAAGTACGGGCTTTGTGTACGGGGCGGGTATCGACATCAGATTCAGTTTATGCTCGTTTGTGGCACTTACGTCGGAACTTTTTGGGCGGGTTCGGGGTGAACATGTTTGGGCCCCAAGTTTTCCCTTTTACCTTTTGGCTGGTAAGGTCAGAAGATATGCAATCAGGACAGGACAGGCCAGGCCGGGAGTAGCCAGGTAAGAGAGACCGGAGAGGTGTTGGGTTTATAGTGTTTAGGGTTTACGGTTTAGGGCTTAGTGGGTTCAGAATAGTATGTTGGCAAGCAGAGGGGCTGAAGTCAATTCACCATTCCGGTGCGCTTGGAGCCACAATCAGCTTTTGTTTATCCCGGCCTTGTGGGTTCGGGCTTACACATACGGGTTCTTAGCATGAGGGGGTATGCTACCCTCTGTAGAATGATATCGGGTACCTAGCTCCTTCTTTCCCTACTACGAACCAGCAAGCTCAGAGGGTTTAGGGTTTAGGGTTCGGGGTTTAGGGTGTAGGGTTTGGGGTTTTAGGGGTTTTAGGGTGTAGGGTTTAGAAAGCTCAGCGCCGAACATGATGCGCCATGGGAGACCAGGAGCATGAAGGGGGGTGCGGTCTTTGCCGTCCTTGCGATGCGATGAGGGATACAGCTCCAAGACAATTCCTCAAGTAGGGGGCCGATTTTCGGACGCATCCCCCTCCCCTCCTCCAAAAAAACTAAAAGTTGTTTGAATTCCGGTACCCAAGATTTAAGGTGCCCAGAGAGTCTGGCCACAACTCAACGAAGCGCACATCTGGTATTTGGCGATTGAGGTGCTCCCACCCTAAACCCTAAACCTTAAACCCTAAACTTAAAGCCTATTGCACAGCCCAGCCCCATCCTGGCAGGAACAGACGGTACTGCTCCAGGCCCATGTCGAGAAGTGTATGCACTCTCAACTTCGAGCATCAGCTGCCGAGGATTCTGCAGGGAGAAGTTGTCTGAAAGGGTAACTGCCAAGGTCGGAGTAGATGAGCAAGAGCCAGATAGCTTACGGCAAGTTTGAACATCCTTATCCCCATACCCCAAAAGGTATACCAAAGGGAATCCCAGCTCGAATCATCCGTAAACCATGTTCCAACTTTCTGGAGTTTACTGTAATTCACCAGTATCAGACTACCCTCAATCACTGGACCCACCTGATACTGTGCCCTCGCAGTCTCAACGCCCCTGCACCGATGTCTCCTAACCCGGTCCCTAAAACCCTAAACCCTAAACCCTAAACCCTAAACCCTAAACCCTAAACCCTAAACCCTAAACCCTAAACCCTAAACCCTAAACCCTAAACCCTAAACCCTAAACCCTAAACCCTAAACCCTAACCCAGCCCCTGCCTGGCTAAAGTAGAGACATAGAGGTCTTCGTGGCAGGGCCATGGCGAGCAGCTTAGGGTTTAGGGTTTAGAGGGGTTTGGGGTTTAGGGTTTGGGGTTTGGGGTTTGGGGTTTGGGGTTTAGGGTTTAAGGTTAAGGGTTCAGGGTTAGGGTTTAGGGTCTGGGGTTTAGGGTTTAAGGTTAAGGGTTCAGGGTTTTAGGGTTCGCTAGGAGAAGGTCCCCAGATTTATACCACTAGGCTCCACAAGGTTTAGGGGTTGAGGATAAGGGCTTAGGGGCTGGGGACGGGGGTTGTTGAGCTGGGAATCTGGGGCGCATGCTTGCTCAAACGTACTTGCAAGGGAACCTAATCATTAAAGACAGGAACAAGGACACCCGGCAATCCCAACCAACATGCTTTGAGAAAAGGTACTTATATACTGACTAGTGTGTGGTTGTGGGTCAATGTCACGAGAAATGTCCTCAAGCACAATCGTGAAGATCCCAACGCTTGCCGTGTGCTTTGAGCAGCTCATCTGCAAGGACCGTTTCCGAACGAGGACTCTTGCCCTGCAGCAGGCATGATGGTACATGGAGCCTCGGCCGAGGCCCCAACAGGTCTCTTTTGAGACAAGGGTGGGCTTGAAATACACCGCCATCCTGGCAGCAGGCGCGGAGGTGGGTGATGAGCATGGTGCAAACCGGAACCACCCCCCAAAAAAACTGCACCCTAGCACCACGAAACCCCTAACACCTGAACCCTACAGCCATCGACCCTAAGCCGACGGCGAAACTCCTAAATGCCGATAGGCCCTAACCCCTCAACATGGGAATGGTGTTCTGCCATCAACCTTCGCCTCAGTTGTGTCCCGGCAGCCTTGGGGAAGGAAGGTCGAGCTACTGAACGACGTGGAGGAAGTTGCTGCAAGGCCTGGGAGACACAGCTTCGGAGGGTTTGAGGGCTTTCGGGTTTTCGGTGCTTTGAAGTTTTTTGGGTGGTTTTTGGGCTTGGGGCGTAATGGCTCTGCAAACTTCAACGGCCAACGCTGATGCCACCGGGGAGAAAAACGCACAACAAAGAAGAGGCCATGAGTTTCCTCAACCCTATCCTAAGCTCGTATGGCCATATCTGCCACATGTCATAGTTGTCCAGTAACCTGGGGGGGAACTAAAGGTTAACCTTTGGGATTATAAGGGGGTTATATTACCCCAAAAGATTAAAGTTTCCAGCAACCTGGGGGATAAGAGGATTATATTTCCCCAAAAAGATTAAAGGTTACCTCCTCTACTACTGGATGCGGCACACTCAGCCCAGTGCCGGCCAGTGCGACAAGCGATGCTCCCGCCCGCGACAGGCCGCGACGAAGCCCACGAGGGGGAGTTCCGCTTCGCCCTTGTTGTGGTTTGGGGAACTTGGGGAACTTGGGGAACTTGGGGAACTTGGGGTTTAGGGTTTAGGGTTTAGGGCTTAAGGGGGTTTGCTGGGGTGGATTTAGGAGCCCTAAGAAATTTCAATTGCTGTGTGTTCTGTAGGGTGCTATGCAGATTTGGGCCCTTTTTCCGATTTAACCTCTTTAGGGCTGCACGAAGGGCTTCGTCTAGTCTTCATGTCCTGTCGTGTCCCAGCAAGAGCATGCATGTGCCGAATTCAGGTGTCCGTAGCGGTCCGTAAACCCTACTGACCCCGAGCCTAACCTCCATCAAATGAGTAACCCTAAACCCGAATCAAAACCCTAATTCTACACCCTAAACCCTGGGTTAAAGCACACGACCAAGGCCCACAGCGCAATCTGATAGTTTCCTACAGTTAGGGCTTTGGGGTAAATACGGGCTACACCATTTTCAAACTCTAAACCCTAAACCCTAAACGCTGAACCCTGAACCCTGAACCCTAAACCCTAAACCCTAAATCCTAAATCCGGGAAAGCCTGCGGTGCTTGCCGTGGCCGCCTGCAGTCCAGACCCAGCCTTGGGATGAAGGCCCTCACGATGGGTATTTCCGAGAGTAGTGGTCCTTTCACTGTACCCCTAGAATATGGACATATCCTTCCTCTGTGAACGCCAGAAAAAAGGGTAGCCCCCTCAATTGTCGGAATCCCCAGATCATGACACGATGCAAGATTTGGGTCTGACATTGCCGGGGAAGGCGGGGTTCCACGTTCAGAAAATTGAATGCTCCAAGCCGGTATCCGCTGCAGAGGAGCCTTGTCTGTGCTGACATGAATGAAACACACGGGGGTTTACGAACATAGGGGACCCTTTTTTTGCCCCCCAAAGAGTAAGACTCCCCCATGAAAAAGACCCTACTTTCGGAAACCCCCACGCAGGGAAACTGAGCCAGCTGCCAAAGCAGATGAGCTGTCAATGGCATCATTGCCTGTGATCTCACACACATGTCTCTCCCAAGCCATTCGCTCTACTGCTTGCCTTTTCTGTCATCTTGGTCTGCAAAACCCTCAACCCTAAAACCCTCAAGCTGTGTAACCCTAAACCCAGACCCAAAGAAAGCTGCGACCAAGCCGCTCAATGCGGAATCCCTTGGTTGCCAGGTTGGCGTTCTATCATGTCAAGGTCTGGCAAACGTTCAGATATTTTTTCAGGTTTAGGGTTTTGGGTTGGCTAACGAGAGCCAGCTCACGCTTCGGAGTCTGTACGGGCATGGCGGGCATGGCCCGTGCTTTTATTGCTACAGCCCCTTCTTTAGGGTGCGGGGTACATGCACACTAAATAAACCCTAAACCCTCAAAGGAACAAAGGCATTTCCTGAAGGGCTGCAAAGGGGCTGCATGGCGAACCCTTGACCGCTGACCCAGCCTCTTCTTTGAGCCCTGTAGGGGTGCCAACCCAAGTACTGGACAAGGAGGGCAATTGTGGTTCATCTCCTTGAATAGGATACGTACGACCCTACTTTTTAGTATCCATGAACCTTCAAGTGCTGTTCAGGGTTCACGGTTTAGGGCTCAAGGACACATCCCCACCCTGCAATACAGGGGCAGAATAGGGTTTTGGGGGTTATTATGTTGTAATTATAAAGGGCCCCTAAGGGAATACCATTAGTAGTTATAAAGGCACCCTAAGGTAACATGACTAGTAATTATTCCGACCCCTATATTAAGCCAGGCCACTTTGCTTCCAGTCCCTGAAGCACCTGCGCTTCGCGGCTCTGACTTATGTGGCAGCCGCTTTGAAGCTGTCATCCACCCAGAACAAGCTCGCCATGTTCCCCAAACCCCTGGGAGAATGCAAAAGGTAGATCCTCTTAAGGGTTCCTCAAAAGTTGCCCAATGGTAGTAATAGGGTATCCTTTAGGGGGTTCTACATTTTGGATCCTTCCAGGGGTCTGGGTCGGTATTCTACCTAGAAGGCCCAAGAGGATGCAGTGCATTTCAGAGCAGCTGAAAGTGCAGCACTGCGTAGACTTTTCCGTGGCATTTGCATTGCAGTCTCATCAACATGGCCGTTGAGCCACAGGTCCCGTCACCGCTTGCACAGCTGCTCACATCTGATCACATCTGATCACTGCATAAGACATCTTTGTTGGCAGGCGGACGGCGCCGTACCGGAGACAGCAATCCCACCTTGCTTGAGATGCCGCCATCAACCTTCGCGGCCTGGGAGGCGTGTTCCTCATGGACACAACCCGGAAACGACAAGCCATCACCTTCGGGTCGCCCGAAGGGGATAAGCCAAAGAAGTGGGTTGGGCCCAAACACGGCCTTGAAGTTCTGCCAAGGCCCCAGGTTGTACATGTCAGGGTTCCAGGGCCTCGTGCTACGTCGCAGCTTCTCGCAGAACTCTAGGGTTGTTTGGCCGTGGTACACACACCTAAGATGAAAGGATGCAAAGAGCGCAAGAGCAATGCTCAAGAGAATCAAGAGCACCTCCCCGAAGCACATGACAGCTTTGAGCCACAACGGAGCCGACCCGCTCATCAATCGCATTGTGGACTTTCCCATGGTCCAGGACATGAATATACAAAGGGTGGTTGCATAGAGGAGGACCTGGAGGAAATACTTGTAGTTGTAGAAGCCGACACAAGAACGGATCCAGGGGCAATGATGGTCCATTTTCAGAATGCATGCTCCACACGCCCTGCAATGGTGGCACCTGTCTGGTTTCAGCGTCCCACACCATTTGCACTTCCTGACATCGCCGGTCTTCTTCGCCTCACGTGTGTGGACCGGAAGTTCCCCACGACTTTCTCCAGCTTTGAAACTCTGCGGCACCGTCCCAGGGAGCTTGTACGCCGTGCGCAGCAGGCACATCAGGAACATCGTGCTCAATGTCACGAAGACTCTCATCTGGTGCTTCCCCGATCCTGATCGTGCCTGTGGGTACACGTGCATGCCACAGTAGATGCTGGCGAGCCCTGCCATCAGCAAGCAGAGACACACCTGGCGAGACCTGCCGGCCCTCCGAGGCGCCATGACGAGGGAACGTCAGTACTATTTGCTTAAGAACCCCCCCAAAACAGCAAGACTCATAATCCCCTTATTACTTTTATAGGGAAGAATCTGGTTATTCTTTGGGGGGTTCTTAAGCAAACAATAGGTCAGTTGGCTGCTGAGCTCTGCAGCTTCACTTTGCCAGATCGCTGCTGTGAAAGCAGGCATCCTTCCTCCAAAGCAAGTAACCAAGTATCCAACACTCTGTCACTCTGGTTGGGAGGCATAACCCGAAACCCTAAACCCTGAACCCTAAACCCTAAACCCGAAACCCGAAACCCTAAACCCTAAACCCTAAACCCTAAACCCAATGAATCTCTCGGCCTGGCGTGCAAGCTCAGCCCGAGCGGAGGCCGAAGTCCTAAGCCGTCAGCTGCGTGAGGGGTCTCTGGGGTGTAGGGGGCTTTGGGGTTTAGGGTTTAGGGTTTAGGGTTTAGGGTGCAGGGCCGCATCTCCTCCTCTACTTGGTGGTTCATTTTGGTACTTTTAAGTAGGGCTAGAAGTAGGATCCGTAACCATGGTTTTCCCCTTATTGAGGGTACTTAGACCCCCTGGTAATCAGTACCCAGACGAACCTCCGAGTAGCCTCAAGCCCTGAGTCCCAATACGCTTACTTCTAAGGGCAGTTGTATGGGCCCTTAATGCGGCCCCTTCCCTGATGGATGGAGCCCTTGGGGTTTATAGGGTATATCAGGGGTATATAAGGGGTCGCCTTTTGAGGGGCCATACTAAGGGACCATGTAACTACCCTCAGATTGAAAGAAGCCAACTTTAACCTAGGAATAAAAAAGGGGTGCCCCTTCTTGATGTTGAAGGGGCACAGAAGGGAACCTAAGCCCTAAAAAAAGGGGAATAAAGGCCCACTCTGCATCCTAGCTACCCTAAACCCTACACCCGAAGCCCTAAACCCCAAACCCTGAAGGGATATGTAGCAGGGTTTGTTTTTCTTGTATCCCAAAAAGGACACCAGGTATATACACTCACCAATACTAAAAAGGAACCTTGTATACACTCACCAAAAACAGAAATATAAACCCTGCTTCATATAAGCGCCTGCTCTGGGTCCTAGCTCATCCCCCCCAAAAAAAGCACCAAGATCCTAAACCCTCAAAGCCCCAAGACGCCCCTTTCAAACCCCTGAATCCCAAAACCCTCAGCCCGGAGTTCCTAAACCTTGTGCCTCCGCCTTTAGGGTTTAGGGTTTGGGGTTTAGGTTTAGGGTTTAGGGTTTAGGGTTTAGGGTTTAGGGTTTAGGGTTTAGGGTTTAGGTTTAGGGTTTAGGGTTTAGGGTTTAGGGTTTAGGGTTTAGGGTTCAGCTGAGCTGCAACTGGCTAATCTTGGTCCCACTTTGGCTGCCGTAACGATCATTCATCGTCCGGGCGGCCTCAGCTAACGGCGTAAGAAGAAAACACCATACATGCTACCTAGCAATCCGGCAAGAAGTTTTCATGACCAATGACCTTCAACATGCAGGTTTAGGGTGTAGAGTTTCTGGGTTTCCGAGCGCAACCTTGGCACAAGAAGGGGAACCCCCTATACCCTAAACCCTAAACCCGAAACCCTAAACCCTAGCTTAGCAGTGGGATGTTCAGATGGACCATATGGAGAGTGCTAAAGCACCGCTCCACAGTTGAGATGCCCAAACCCTAAGCCACTTTGCAATGTAGTTTTTCCCTAAGTCGTGCGCGCGGGATTGCCGAATGTGGAGTCTCGCATAAACCGGTTTAGGGTTTAGGGTTTAGGGTTTACCCCAACTAAGCCCTCGTGAGCAACAGCGCAAGCAACCTTACTTGCCATACTTGCTTGCAAGCTGGGTTGTGAGTACCCAACTATCGGCTGGCATCTGCGGGGAGTGGGAGGCTTTTGGTGCAGGGATTTAGGACTTGAAGCCTGTCAGACAACGAAATGCATCCAGGCCCCCAGACGAGGGAAGGGAGGCTGTTGCTCTTGTTCATGGACGCAGACTGGCTGGTCTGGTTGAAGTTTCCTCACTCGGATGCTGTCACTATGAGCGATGCTTCGAACATGCGCATTCCTTGGAATTGGACCTTCTTTCTGTAGTTTATTGCTGCCCGAAACCCTTCGCCCTTAAGCCTACAGCCCTTCAAATCCCGCGGGCCCTAGGCTAGACCCTACTTTGGAGTAGACCCTGTATAAGCTTATAAGCAGCTATAATAGGAACCCAGAACCAAAAATGGTATTAAAGTATAGTACTCCAAAAGCCAATAGATCCGATGACTTCCTGTTATTCTAGAATAATTATCAAGAGACCCTAAGGGAATACTACTAGCAATTATTCCGACCCCTGTATTCTGAGTAGCTCTACTCTAATAAAGGCACCTTTTTTTGGGGTTGGTTTCTTTACAACAGGGAACCCAGAACCCCCCAAAAAAGGGGAAAAGGGTACCTCCGCATTGGCTTCCTGCGGCCGCGCGGCCGCGAGAAGTCGCCACTTTGGGACTTGCTTTGTCGCGGCCGGCGGAAAGCTTCGTCATGGCAAAGCTGCTGCTAAGATGGGCCTCAGTTCTGGCCAAACATTCCGAACTAAGGTTGCTGACCCTAAGCCCTAAACCCTAAACCCTAAACCCTAAACCCTAAACCCCAAACCTTAAACCCCAAACCCCTAAACCCCTAAACCCCTCTGGAGGAGCTCTGTCAGCTCCTGCAGGCAAGGTGCACTCCCCGACGGGGTTTGCTGAAGGGCCTGGTCTGCCAGCGTCATCTTGCTGTGCACAAAAGAAATTGGATCGTCTGCCTGCGGCATGCGAAACCCTAAACCCTGGGACCCTGACCCTAATTAAACCCTAAACCCTAAACCCTGAACCCTAAACCCTTGCAACATTCCGGAGAAGGCAGCTGCAATGGCGCATCCTATGGTTCGAGGGTCAGGAGATTCCACGCAAAAAAGCAAGAGAAAGCTTAGGGGGCTTAGGGTTTAGGGTTTCATAGGGTTTAGGGTTTAGGGTTTAGGGGTCAAGAAGAGGGTCCAAGCCGTGTGAATAAAGTGGCACGGGTTGGCGTTCAGGGAGGGCGGGTGGCTGGAAACAAAGCTTTCGGCTTCGGATCTTTCCCCCTTATAATACTGACAGTCCTTAATGGGGATTTTAGTAGGGGGGACTCTTATCCTTATTAAGGAGCTTGTAGTAGGGGTACTGGAATCCCTATTAGGGAATTTTCCAGGGGGTACTATAACCCCTATTAAGGAATGATCAGGTAGCAGGAGCTACATGCATCAGCAGGGTTCTAACTACCCTACTTGCAACCCTACTTACTATTGCGAGGATGGCCCTTCAAACCCTCTGAAACGTATTCCTGAATATGATCCTCTTGGACCCAATAAGGGAAAACATGAAATGTCCCCAGGGCCTACCGAGATTAAGGACCATGAGCTTCGAGGTACAGCATGCGCAGAGAACGCTACCATAGCTACCCTACTTATATCCCCTAAACCCCAAAATCCCTAAACCCTAAACCCTTAAACTACCATGAACTTCTATAGGTACAACAATCTCTGCACAGAACGCTGCCAGCAGTAGGCTGGCCTGCGGGATGCAAGCTGCACAGATATTGAGGTGGCACTGCCGGCCTGGCAATCTCGGGGCCATCCTTTGGGGTTGAGGGTTGTTTGGGGTTGAAGGTCTAGGGTTGAGGGCTTCGGGTTGGGGGTTTAGGGTTGAGGGCTTCGGGCTGAGGGTTTAGGGTTGAGGGCTTAGGGTTACAAATCTGGGCTGAGCTGCAGGGACTGACACGGATCCTCATTATCTCGCCTGCTTAAGGAAATTTCAAGGCAGTACGCCTGTACAAACTGAGAGGCCGAAGGCTCTGGAATTTCTGATGTCTCATGCCGGACAAAAAGACACCTCTAAACCCTAACCCCTAAACCCTGCACCCTGAACCCTAAACCCTAAACCCTAACACCAAAGCATCTATGAACCCAACATCTAAGGCCGGGGCAGCTGTGAACTGAGGCACCTTTGGGCTGCTCAGACTTGCAGCGACGGCAGCGCAACCCTTCCTGGTGTGCTCGTGCGGTTTAGGGGTTTTGTGGTTTAGGGTTTAGGGGTTTAGGGTTTAGGGGCTTGGGCCGGGCTTGGGGGTTTGGGGTTTCGGGGTTTGTGGCTTAGGGCTTAGGGGTTTGGAGGCTGAGGAGTACTTGGTTCATGGGCTATTACAAGCAGAGGCTAGAAGTACCCTAACTAAGGCTATAACTATAGTTCCCCTAATTATAACCTTACTCACCCATGAAGCTCCAAATAAATGTTCAGGCCACTGTGTTGAGAGTTTAGGTGATCGGAGGAAATCCTGGTGAGGGAAGGACTAGAACATAAGGGTATGGCGTTTCGGGCTGGGACTTCATTCTTCAGTGGTTCATATATAAATATAAACTTATATATGTATCTATATATGTATATATTTATTTATTTAGATGTACATCAGTATCTTCTTCTAACTCTGCTTCAAGCGTCCATGGGCATGTACATCTTCATCATCACGTGCCCGGAGGGACAGTACCTGATCTTGGGCACCTGAGCTGGCAAGTGGGGGAAGCAGAGTGAGCAACCCGTTCAAGTCTGGAAAGCTTCTCACGAAACCCTGGTTAAACCTTATAAGCCCTAAAGCTCCAACCCTAAGGCCTCAAGCCTATACCAACCTGTGCTCCTTGCATAATACATCTCAAACCCAAAAATCTGAGCTGAGAAGTTTTCTTAGTTACGCGGTCGCTTAGTATGCGCCCTTAAAAGGGGCCACTTACATACCTTGTCAAAACCCGAAAACAAATATTAAGGGACCATGTAACCCTTAGAGTTTTCGGCCAAACTGAATGGCTCTGAAAGGTCCCTCGGGCGGGCGCGGTCGGCGACAATGGCCGCACACTCCTGGGCTGCGATCAGCTTCGGGTTAAGTTGTTCAGGGTTCAGTGCATTCAATTGGCAGATTTTGTTGTACCCAACCCTAATTAAACCCTAAACCCTAAACCCGAA